AAGTAAAGAATTAAAAGTGTTATAGTATAAATTAAAAAATTAAAATTTATAAATTTATCAAAATAAAAGAATAAAAATAAATTTTTAGCTAGTAAAGAATCAGGTAATCAAAGACAACATAAAAAAGGGCGATATAGACCATAATGATAGACCTTGGCACTGTCGGAAGCACAATAGTCAGCACAATAGTCAGCACTTGCGTCACCTTTTTCTAATACGCCCGTGGCAAGAAGATGCACTACAGCATCTAACCTGCTATATATATAGTAGACTCTCGTAAAGGTCTCAGTGCCACCAAATTTTGCACCAAGAAGTGGAGGGAGATTAAGCAACAATGGCGGACTCAAGTGACCAGGGAGCCGTAGTGAGTAACAAGCAGGTGATATTCAGGAATTTCATCTCCGGTTTCCCAAAAGAGTCGGACATGTTCGTCGCTACCGGACCAGTAAAACTGAAGCTACCAGAAGGTTCCAGAGGAGTTCTTCTGAAGAACCTTTATTTATCCTGTGACCCTTATATGCGAATCTTGATGACACCCAAAAATGAGGGTTCTGGTGAAGTCTTCGCTCCCTACGCCCCTGGCTCTGTAAGTGCTCTCTTTTTCCTTTTGCCTCGTATGAGTCTCTGGATATATATATATATATATTTTTGGTTCTTTTTGTTTATTATTTTAGTTAATTGCTACTAAAGAATGTGAATTTCTGCATATTGTGTGGAAAGTGGGTTCCCCTGGAGGAGATTTTATGCGTTTCTAGTCTAATAGGTTTGTGATTCGGAGTTGGAGGATGTGTGGGTTGTCTTCTTAATATTGTTTGTTTGGATGAGGTATATTTTTGGATGCATGGTACAAGGGATAAGAAAGAACTGTAATTGGATATCGGGGAAAACACATATCCATGAATGGTTCATTCTATGGTATGTCCTAATTAGTAACTACGGTATGTCCTAATTAGTAACTACAAAACTAGCCCGGTGTTTTGAGTGGTTGCGGTCTTTATGGGAGCTCTTGTACTTTTGTTTTTTGGCCGTCGGTCCTCTTGTACTTGAATGGTAATTGGTAGGTTGAGAGCTCTTTCTTTCTTTGATAATTGGTTGGGTGAGAGTTGAATGGGGTCAAGTTGTTTGTTCTAATAGTTGGAAAGAAAAATAGTAAAATTAATCAGGAAAAAGCAACGAAAAAGACAAAAAGTTTTTTTTAACGCTGGACCACACATTAATGAATCTCTTCCCTATGTTATTTTATTAATGAATCTTTAGTAATTTCAATCTCCCGATTGTTCTTCGACTAGAAAAACATGAATTTTAACAAGAAAAATGTATCATGACTGTTTCATTTGTTGGGTATTTTTTTGGGTACCAAAGAAAGTATGGGCACAACCCTATTACTAAATTCATAGGAGGATCAACACCCCTGCAAATACCAAGACTCGAACACTAGTAGCTAGAAAGAGAAAAGAGCCTTCTCAAATTCAAACTGCTAGGGTGATTTACAGCCTTATTGTTTCATTTCTTGGTTGGAAGAAAACAGTGCTGACAAAAAGATGTGATGGGAATGGGAGAGAAGATCAGTTAGCAATTTTTTGGATTAGGAAGCTAAAAGAAAAAGAATAACATGACTTGTGTAGCTCTTATAAATTTCCAATGGAGTTTGATTGTGTGCAAGTTAACATTATGCTTGTTGATTAATGTAGTATGAAATCCTACATTAAAAAAATGTAGTATGAAATCCTAAAATCCAAAACTTCTACTTTTAATGAAAGAAAAAAAAATGATTGAACTTGCAGCCAGTTTCTGGGTTCGGAGTAGCAAAAGTTCTGGATTCAGGCCACCCAGACTTCAAGAAAGGAGACATTGTTTGGGGAATAACAAAATGGGAAGAGTACTCTGTCATCTCAGCACCTGAAATCCTCTTTAAAATTCAGCACACTGATGTACCCCTTTCCTACTATACAGGAATTCTTGGTAAGTGAAAAACCTGTGACAAACGTAGATTGCATATAATAGAAATGATATTTCACTTTATGGTGAATGACAAAAGGAAACCGGGTATCATGCATCTGCCAAGCAAAAGATCTTATTTGAGTGAAATAAGTTTGCAATGTTAAGATTGTTTTGCCTTAATGCTTTATGGTCACCCACCCCATTGTCTATCTGTGAAGAAAGAAAAGTATCTATTATTTGAATAACCAAACAACAATGCATGTTGCACAGTAGAGCCATAGGAAATTGCTTTTGAGTCCTGCAACTGTAAACTTACTTTGTTGTTGTTATCCTAAGCATTCTGCATATCTCTAGATCAACAATTTGTAGATTCTGCATTTCTCATGATGAACCATTTTGTTAGTGTTTAACACTGTTGGTAATTTGAGTGTTTCTTCTTTTTCCTCTTAATAATAGCTTTGCCTGGTTTGACTGCTTATGCCGGGTTCTATGAGCTCTGTTCTCCTAAGAAAGGAGAATATGTCTATGTCTCTGCTGCAGCGGGGGCAGTTGGTCAACTTGTTGGTCAATTTGCAAAGTTGATGGGTTGCTATGTTGTTGGAAGTGCTGGAAGTAAAGAAAAGGTGAGACAAGCACCTGTTCTTAACCATTCTTAATTTGGGTTCATTAAATATATATAAAGGGAACTGAATTTTTTATGAGTGTAGTTCAGTGTAAAGCTGACATTCAACTCACTTCTGTTTTTCACCTGAACTAAAGGTTGATCTGTTGAAGAGCAAGTTCAGATTTGATGAGGCTTTTAACTATAAGGAAGAACATGATCTGGATGCAGCTCTGAAAAGGTCAGTACATTAATTATAGGCAAGGACATTTTTCTCTATAATGCATTCTAATTTGCTAAGTTTATATAGTTTGCACAACACTTTTGGATAGGAAGGGACAATTCCCAATATGGGCCATTCTCATCTAATAATTTAAGTTATATAGTGCGGTGTAGTCTAAATTGCAGAACATTTTTTTGGTTTAGCAAATTTTCACTAATGGCAATGGAAATTTCAGAATATTCATATTGAATACCAAAAGTACTAAATACAATCAATTTTTTTCATATCACTGTGTCCAGATACTTTCCTGAAGGCATTGATATTTACTTTGAAAACGTTGGGGGCAAAATGCTAGATGCTGTGCTTCTCAACATGCGAGATCATGGCCGCATTGCTGTGTGTGGGATGATTTCACAATACAATGCTGAAAAGCCTGAAGGCGTGTGCAATTTGATGAACGTTGTGTATAAGAGGGTCCGAATGCAAGGATTCAATGTCTTCGATCACTTCCAGCAATACGCAAAGTTCCTGGAGACAGTCATCCCTTACATTAAGGAAGGGAAGATAGCATATGTAGAGGATATTGCTGAAGGTCTAGAGAGTGGTGCCTCTGCTTTGGTAGGACTCTTTAACGGCCGGAATATCGGGAAACAGGTTGTCGTAGTTGCACGGGAGTAATACAGCCTTTGTTTGCTCAAGGGTTCTATAGCTATTTTTATGTTAGTGTAAGAGATGGGAAGGAAATCGTTTGCTTGTCATTGTGTCTTAATTAGTTCTCCATAATGTCATGGCCAGTCCATTTATACCGTTATGCGGTTGAGTCTAAATCTAAATGATTTTCTGTATTCCCAAGACATGTTACTTGAAGGGATATCAAAGCTTTCTCTGACTTATGTATGCTCTATGGTATGAATGTGCTATTAATTTAACAAGATTTTAAAAGTATTTGAATTAATTAATTTATTGTTTAAATATTATTATAATGAAGTGTTATTTTTTATTTTAATAAAATGATACATTTAATAAAAAATTTATTAGAGATGTGAGATGAAAGTATATTGATTCCATTTCAATTATTTTTTTCTGAAAAAATGATCATTTCGTATTGAATTAAAAAAATAAAGTGAGTATAATACAACTCTACTTAGAGCCAACCTAGTAGTTTATAATTTTTAAATGTCTTTTAAAGCACAAAATAGCTCAAAAAAAGAACAAACTAGAAAAAATAACTAAATAAATATATATGAGTATCTAACTATTTTTTTATCTTTTAGCTGTTAGTTACACTGTTACAATTACAGCCCACTTGACACCATAGCAATTATTATCCTCAAGTCATTGTTCTACAAGTATCTCTTGCAAACAGATTGATAAACCATCTTTGACATTCATCCAAAATCAAGGGGATCAAGAACCCCCTTAAGACCCCAAGCTTAAGGTTCGAAATAATATTCATTTCTTAATTTTGTTAAGATTTTTAAGAGACTTAAGTAGTGTCATTTATAAAAAAAAACTTCGCTTCCCTGACTAATTTTTCTGGTTCTGCCCTTGCTCACTTAATGTCTCAATAATTAACAACTTCAATCTCTCAACGTTGGAAGTGTTAATTAAAAGCTTAATCCTTTATAGATAGAAATGGTAGGGGTTTGGGAAGTGAAGAACTATTATACCATCCACACCGAAAAAAGGTTAAAGTTTGAAGACTAGACTGTCTATTGCATAAGTTTAGAGGTCAGTGTTTACCCAAGACAAAATAAAATTGAAAAATAAGAGAGAAGTGAAGCTGCCAATGAAGCCTAAAATGAGCTGAAAGGTGCAATTCAGCCCCTTCGGTTGCATTGCTGTGGTAGACAACCCCTTGACTTCTTTAATTGATTGTAGTCCTCTCTTTTTTTGTTTTTTTTTAATTGAGTTATATAATAAAAGATAATTTAATTAACTCGATTAAAACAATGCAAATGAGCTCTTTTAGCTATATATGCTGATGTTAAAAAACGTCATCACGTTGTCTACCATAACATGACGCCATTATTGGGCTGCTTTACCAGCGCTTCCATGGAAGCAGAACAAATTTCCCTTTTACTCTTCTAGATAATCAAATTAGTCAATAGGTTTTGGCTGGAGAATACAATTTATTTTTTGATCGGCAAAGGAGTGATAGTACATATTTTTAATTGAAAAAAGGGAAGTATAGGAGAATGCAAACTCAATAGCAAATTAAACTAGTTTTTACATCTTATATACATAATTATATTTTTATATTTGTTTATTTTCAGATAAAATAATAATAATTTTTTAATAAATTTATTATGCAGTATATTGAATCGAAATATGTATCAATTATCCTAAACCAAACTTGAATGTTTTCCATTTGCAAAGATTGGGAGCTGAATAATGAGGTTCAAAGGACCGCTAATGATCTAACATCAACTTCAATCATAGATAACCTATCTTTAACCGATAGGTAAGCTTTATATTGTTTGGCCTATTCTTTATGTCTTGCATTGCAATAAAACAGATTTCTTTTTCATATAAAAATGAAAATCCTTAATTTGTTCTTATAAATTAGGAAATCAATGCACAAAATTGAACACATGGAGGTGATACTATTCATTGAGAAAATTCTACATTGAGGATATAATAAAGAAACATATAACTTACATACAAAAAATATTATTTCAACTATTTCTAATTAATTTTAAATTATATGAAAATCTTGAATTGAACCTCATATTCCATATAACATATCTCTCTTAAAACTTTATATTGAGGTGGGAAAGCTCAAAACCTTAAAAATCTAATTCTTCTATATGTAAGATTCAAAGCTCATACCATATAATTAGAATCCTAATAACAAAATGATTTGGGCTAAAACGTTCGCTAGAGCCAAGATTCACACAACCTTAAAGGGTCAAACTAAACTGGTTAGTAGCGATTAACAATTTTATACCACAGGTTAAAAGCAAAGAGACAAAATAAGAAAAGCAAGACGTGGCATTTTAGTGCATGTCGATTTATATGGGAAGATCCGAAAGCATTGCCCAATAGTACCCCAAAGGACTACTTCTCTCTTTGTTTAAAACGCCCACGTCCATATCTGAATTCTCATTTCCCTCATACCCCAAAACTGCCTGCTGCCTTTTCATCTCTTTCTCTTTTCATAGCAAAGAAGGTGCAAAAATGGACGAGAGCAACATGAAGGTGGTACTGAAGAACTACGTGTCTGGTTTTCCGAAGGAAACAGACATGCACCTGACTGCCGGTACCATAAAGCTTAGGGTACCGGACCTTTCCAACGGCGTCCTTGTCAAGAATCTCTACCTCTCCTGCGATCCCTACATGAGGACCCGAATGATGAAGACAGAAGACCATTATGTCGAGTCTTTCACTCCGGGTTCGGTTAGTGAATAATTATCCATTCTCTTCCTATCTGCTACATTTTTCTTTTGATGATCAGCTTCTTCTGCTACATATATATTCATCACTATGCATGGAAATCTAAACTTTCAATTAATTTTAATATTATTTCATCAATTTATTTCATCCCTTTTCTTTTGGTTGTTTCTGATCTAAGCAAAATGGATCAGGTATTCCCTTTTTTTCTTTTATTTTTTTCTCATTCATTTTCTTCTTCTTTACTTTTTTTTTTTTTTCGTATCTATGATTATTTATTTTAAATAATCAAAATTTGTGAGATTAATGTGAAATGACCCATCTTTGATATGTGTAAGCAATAACATTGATTTATCTCTTTTCAATTTAATTCTAAAGAGACTATATAACTGATTAAAATCTTCAATTTAAATTTTAAATTAGTTTCAACATTAATTGGGTAGGGTTAGAGTTTTGACTTAAAAAAAAAAAGTTACTCCTTATAACATCAAATGTATCAAAAAAATAAAAAATAAAAAGCAATATCATTGTTACAACTTACAAGTGCTTGACAATTTAAATTTCAACAGATTGGATAAAAAATTTGGAATAAGAGATCTCGTATTTAATTAAGGAGAGTTTTTTCCATATAGAAGAAGATATAATTCCTATATATAAACTATGGCATCAATAATTACCAAAAGAAAGTAACGATTGAAATGGGACTGCAGCCTATAACGGGATATGGTGTGGCCAAAGTTTGGGATTCAGGACATCCAGACTTCAGAAAAGGCGACCTGGTTTGGGGATTGACCGGCTGGGAAGAATACAGTCTCATTACAATACCCGAACGTCTCTTTAAAATTAGACACACCGATGTTCCTCTTTCCTACTACACTGGAATCCTCGGTAACTATACATATTGATATATGACCATGTTTGATTTAGCTACTAAGGAACATGTGATAGTTGTTTCTATCAGCTGTTCCCTAATGGTTAAACCAAACAAGGTCTTCATATATAATTGCTCGTTCGTTGTGCAAGTTTGAGGCATTAACCATATACTTCCATTTGTTGTTTCTTGTTTCTTCTGTTTTTTGTGTTTTGCAGGAATGCCTGGCTTGACTGCATATGCTGGTTTTTATGAGATTTGCTCTCCTAAGAAAGGAGAGAAGGTATTCATTTCAGCAGCTTCCGGTGCAGTTGGTCAGCTTGTTGGGCAGTTTGCAAAGTTGTTTGGCTGCTATGTTGTTGGAAGTGCTGGGAGCAAACAAAAGGTACATCATTTATTAATTCATTTAAAAAAAAGTTACTTAAATTTGTGTGAACATGATTCTTGATTTCTTTAAAATAAATAGAAAAAAAATTATAAAACAAATGTAAATAATTAATTTCACACACTTGTTTACGAATCCATGTAACTTTAGCATTGAAATATAATTTTTTCTTGAAATAGTAATTTTTGTTTTATTTTCTTTATTTTCTTTTTCCTCCACTTCAATTTAAGGTTGACTTGCTAAAGAAGAAATTTGGGTTTGATGATGCTTTCAACTATAAAGAAGAGCCAGACTTCAGTAAAGCTTTGAGGAGGTTAGTACCCAATATATATATCTACACCGCCATAGGTTGGGGATTTTGTTGAGTTAGAAAATTCCTTATTTGGAAAA